CCCCAAATCTGTACAAGAAAACCAGTAACTATTTCCACCATTGACTGTGCTACATAATTAGTTGCAAGCATTACTTAAAAAAACCCCAAACAACTAAATATGCACCAGTTGGCCTTAAGCACAGGAGAAGGAGAGGAATTTTTTTTGTTAACTTCAATAGGAATATCAAAACAATTAAAGAGCGTCTCTGATTCTGGCAGTGATGTACTTGATATTATCTGGTCTAAACAGCACCCAAGTCAATTAAACAAAGTCACAGGACAATTTTGTTGCTGTTGGGAAAGGTACAAATGATGATGATAACATACACAGGCTCCACGTAAAGGCTCTACTGCATAATGGTGAACACGGACGCATTCACACTATACAACACACTGCTGAATATTCTACCTCTGCAGTAAAAATCAATTCAGAGTAGCAGAACAGGATCTTTCAGGATTAAATAGCTCCCATGAATTGCATCAGACTGCTCACTGTGACCTGTATACCATTTTCCAGATGTAATGGAAAGGTATCCAATCATGCAGAGTTCCTCATCCTTCTGTCCAGTTACTAAAATACAGCAGGAAAATTATTTTCTCCCACTTCTCCCTCTCTTAATACTATTATTTCACAAAGCATTCATACAGACAAGAATATTAATCACACGGCACATAAAACAAAACTGAAAGCGTCTCCCGTGTCCCCTGTTTGAGTTATTTTTCTAGAAAAAAGAAACTCGGGAACCTTAGGAACTACACTCTCACAAAACTGAAGAATGCTGTACTTATACTTGGAGAGATTGTGGGATCTTTAAAGCTACACTAAGGCTTATCAGGTGTAAAAGGCAGGTACACAGCTCTGGTAAACCACTGCTCCTGGTTTCTTCCTGCTGCTTTCCTACTGCTTCCAGTAAACGAAACCCCATGCCCTCCCTCATAGCAGCTTCCCCTACCTCACTCGACTTAAAGAGACCGCGAGTAAATACGGACTCAGAAATACTCCCAGAAACACCGCAACCCCCTTTTCCTCTTTCCGCCAGGGATGAGGAAGGGCCGAGCAGCCCCAGCCCTCGCACCGCCCGACACGGCGCGGGGAGCCGCAGTACACGCAGAAAGCAGC